GCTTCATCAACAATGCCACGCGTAAGAGGGACTCTTCGCTGATTCGTGAGCCTCCCAAACAGCCTCTTGCTAAGCCGGTACTGTCGTGGCGGGAGCAGACGGTTGGCGGCTCAGAGCCTCTCCCGAGTGCCAGCTTCCAAGCGAGGTGAGGTGCTGATCATGCAGCGTATGGGCTACACCAGGGATCCATCTGTGCCATCCGCTTCGGAGTTGGAGGCCTTTGATAGGCTATTCGACTGCAACCTGACTGCGTCCGAAGCCGAGGCGCTCGACGAGCTCTTCCCGGCCGTTGGAAAGGCACCGTCCAGGCAGCCGTGAAGACACAAGGCCACCTAAGCCACAAAGCTACGTCGATATTGGTTGTTTCCTTTTATGTAATATCGAAACATGATGTCTTTTCGTTAGGATGGTCCAGCTTCGGCTGTGTTAGGTCGACCTCCTTCGGCGCTCGATAGAAGCGCGTGGTATATTCACCGCGTTCGGAGGGTACAGATGGGCACAGTAGCACGGCTGATTTTGGATGATTGAATAGTATTCTGTGAGAGAGAATAAGCTGGAACAAGCTATGACACGACCAGCCGAACACGGTGATTTTCTTTAAACTCTTCTTCTTAATACATCGATACGTAAATCTTTTACGTGTTCGAGAAAAAAAAAGAATTTCATCCGCAAGCAAGCAGTAGATTCTCGCTTCAGGCTATGTGGGTTCTCGTATGTACTACCTGCTGGCTGCTGCTGCTGCTGCTGGCGAAGAATTGCAGGGGGCTTTGCACATGACCTCTGATGGATGCCACTGTGAGCGCTTCAAAAGCAACAGCAACCAGCAGCGCGATCGCTATTGTCGGTTATGCTGATACCCTCCCAGTCCCAGGTGAGTGACCACTGAAAGCCTGGAGAAGGAATGGGAGCAGGAGAGGTGTTGCTGTTGTACAAGCGCCTTTTGGTCATGTTGTTTGCCCTATTCATTGATTTGATGTGAGAAAAAAATACTATTTATTAACTAAAAAAGTACGGTTTATAAGTTAAACGAACAGAGCATTAACTGTTAAGCTGTTGTTGCTTTTGTTTGGCTCCAGTTTTCCTGCAAGATTCTGCATCATTCCATGGTCGCCAAGGGCCAATGTGCCTGTACTTTCTGACAGATACTAGTCTTGACCCAAAAGGAAATATTCACACATGGTGTAGTGAAGCTTTTTTTTTGAACGCAAATTGTGCAGTGAAACTTTTACCGAGACTTACCAGTGATATAAAATATATCATGGCCCAAGGATTTCATTGGCCGGCATTGCAAAAAAGATCGTTAACTGGCGCCCCATAGTGCTGTTATATTTCAAAATCAGGGAGTCAGGGTTAGGGGGAAATATATATTTCATTGCAATTATCGAGGTAGAGAAAGAAAGCATACAAATAGCAACAACAATTTTCACGTAACGTTTAGCCTTAGACCCTAGGAACGGGTGGACTAATATTTTTAGTGTAGTCTAACTAGTTGTTGGTCCCTTTTCGGTAGTCCATGTATCCAAACAGTACATACAGGACTACATTTTAGTCGTCTACACTTTAGTTGGACTACAACGTCCAGGTGACCCAAACATGTCCATCACCATGTATAAGGACTTTCCATTGATCATTATTAGGATGAGATTGAAATGGGAGGTCATGGAAAAGGAGGGACATGCGTGAGATCGAGCGTATCAAAACTGTCCTTTTTGGATGCTCTCTCTGTGATAACTCCAATTGCACAAACACACACAAAGCTTTGCAATGTCCATCAGTTGCCCCCGCATGAACGTTTTATGATCAGCTTTTCTTTGCTGGTTTTCAGACATGGCATCGTGACCATTCATTTGTTTCTTCGAAAAGGTTCCCTGAATTGACCTCGACACGGGCATAGCGTGGCACATCACGGGCTATTTTCTGTACCGAGCAAAAAAGCTTCACAGATCTTGACTTGGATTCCTTTCGGCCTTCTCTCTCTCTCTCTTCTCCCTGCTTTACCTGAACAAGGGCTCCATTGCAATTTTAAATTAAATGGTCCTACATTTGTACGTACAGGAATCACTTAGAAAAGTGGCCGAGTAGACTTTAGTTTTTTTAATTAATAGTTGCTACTAGTAAATAAACAATCGCTACTGATGACATTTATCATTGTGAATAGCATATCTTGAGGTTAATTTATTCTAGTGTAGTAATGAATGCAGCACTCCTAGCTAGTTATTCTGCACTATTGTAGAGGATGGAAAACAGGGACAAACCAAAGTGGTAACCCAAATTAACTGGTGAGCTGTGGAGGCGCAGGTGTGTGAAGCTATATCGTGTAGTGTAGCAGATTCAATCATGGGCAGATCATCGTCAGTAAACACATTCATTCTCATTCCATGCATGCATGCATTCATTCATTCATATTGACGGTAACAACTCATCATAAAAAGAGGAAACTAGCTGAGAATATAGTATAGAATAAGGAGTATAGTTTATACTGCGATGAAATAAAAGAGTATATAATCTGGTACATGCATTCTATATATGCAGGAGCAAAAGTGCGTTGGAATGAAGCAAATTAATTAGCTCACTTTTGATCAAAAAAAAATTGATTAGCTCATCAGTGTGGCCCGACGATCTTCACTGATGTTGGCTACCCCTACTAAAATTTAGTCCCCGTCGTATCGGATGTCTGACACTAAGACCCTATTTGGTTGGGCTTTTGGCTTTGGCTTTTGTCCCCAAAAGCCAAAAGTCTAACCAAAAGGGCTACTTTTGGAGGGTGCTTTTTCAGAAGCAGCTGCTTTTCCGTAGTTCATTTTTGAAAGCTGGTTTGACCCTACTTTTGGCTTTTGGTTTTCTGCTTTTCGAAATTGGTGGAATAAAAAGCTCTTCCATAGTTGTTTTAAGATAAATAAAGATAAAAGGTATATTTTATACTTGTTTAACCAAACAGCTTTCAGCTTTTCTACAGCTCACAGCCCACAGCAGCTTTTCTACAGCTCACAGCTCACAGCAGCTTTTTCCCACAGCCACAGCTCAACCAAACAGAGCCTAATTTTAAGTATTAAACATAGACTAATTATAAAACTAATTGCACAAATTGAAACTAATTTACGAGACGAATCTATTAAATCTAATTAGACTCATATTTAGTCTTTCTAATTAGTATCTAAATACCCAATGTAACATCTACTAAATTTTAATCCTTGAATCCAAACCCCCACCGAAACTAACAGAAGCGGTGAGGCGAGCGGGACGTGATATTGGCACGGCTCAATCAGAGGGCAGAGCCCCCCCGCTGGCCTCGATCTAGGGCTCGAGCTCTCGAATTGAACCGCGCCAATACCCCGTCGCGGCCATTGCACTGCACCGCATGCACGAGGATCGATATATTAGCTTAGCTACCCACCTGGCCACCTGCTGGATCGATCGCATATGTACTAGAGGGTAGAGGCAGGCAGGAAGCTCCATGGACATGCATGGATGATGGATGGAGCGGCGGCTCCTCCTTCGCAGCACGATGGCGAAGCATGAAGAAGAAGAAGAAGAAGAAGCAGGCGGCCAGCAGCCGGGAAATGCAGTGCCTGCCGGCGACGGCGATGAGGGCATTAATGGACGAGGCAGCGAGTTGGCGTTGGCGACGGGGAGGTTGGGGTATTTATTTATTGAAGGAGGATAGAGAGAGTGGTGAGAGTGAGATGCATGCATGTCCAGGCAGGGAGGGTCGGAGTCGGAGGGCAGCGCAGCGCGCGAATCTGGAGGGCGGCGGAGCTAGTAGAGCAGTGCTCGTCTCATGCAGCCTGCAGGGTGCAGTGTGCAGGCGCAGGCGCACAGCACGGCGGATGTTTGCCGCTACCTTCTCTGTGGACGAGTCGCTCGTTCTTAGACAGTCGGCTGTTCGCTGGTTGGTTTGAGGTAAATACTGTTAACTACTGGCTAAAACCAACAAACGAATAGGATGAGTGTCTAAAAGTTACAGATGCCCCCGTGCGGTATGCCTGTGCTCCACCGGGAGTACACTCTCAGATAGTAGATGATGTATATCCGGATCTGTTTTGTGTGAGGAATGAGGTGATCTGTCATCTAGACATCTACCCTGATACAGTGCTTTTGTTTGTTTCGACTTTCGACAGATGGAGTAACGCCTCCTTTTTTATTTGATTTGATGACGAAGACACGTAATTAGTCTTAGTACTAGGAACGGAGTCATCTTATCATATCAAACTGATGTTCAGGCGAGATGAATGTATGATGATAGGTGATGCATCATACTCCTATCATCTATTATAGCAAGGAAATTCCTCAGACCAAAAATAATGCTGCCTTATGCACAAGTTTTGGTGCATCGATTCACCCTCGCCAACTCACACCGTGTGCACTGTTGCAGAACCAAGATTCGCTCGTCCGGCACCTAACAGCACTGCATGACTTCCAAGTTCTAGCTTTATATCTACTACAATGATTAGATACAGTGCCCAAACACAAGCTGATCTTACTGCATCCTGCACCACCGTGCCTGCTGCTGCACACGGGTTTCATCCATCCTTCCTGCCAGAGTCCAGGTTCTCCGGCCTGCGGTGCGGTTCCACCGCCACCGGATGCATGCATGCCGGTGCCCTTCGCCGCCATCGGTAGGTCAGTGCAGCCGGCATGCCGGTGGATTAAACCACCGTCACCCAGTAGGTGCCACTGGCATGGGGGGCAGTTAATGAACGAAACGTAACAGCAACATTTACCCACATGGGTGGAACCACCGCTGGCACGCTCATGTTACTGTCACATCGATAAGCTCACGGAGGAGAGGACACAGCAGGTTTTTAGCAGAATTTCTGAAGCAACCCAGAGCTGAGTATTACTTAAAATGTGTATAGCATTGTAGTATGCTTCAATGTTTTCGACAGACAAGAGTTGCTTGATGCACAGATTCTTGAGATTTATGTACGCAGGTTCTTGAGATGCCTATTAAGTATTTACAGGAGGCATTTTCCAATGTCGATCCATCGCGGCGCTGCCACTCAGAGCAGCCCGAAGGTGTTCTCGCCGCTGTAGGTCATGTAGAGGAAGCCGTCCTCGTCCTTGTTCTCCTCGTAGATGGCGGACATCAGAGCAGCTGCAGGGTCCAAAAGTGACAGCAACAATGTTAGCGTGGGTACCGTGGTAGGTTTTGTTTTATTCCCCCAGTGGTATGGCAACAGAGGAAACACTCTTGGGTACCTGTTGGTGGGAGGGTGTTCTTCACGAAGATGAAGATAGCCTTCTCAGCGCTGAGCTTGATGCGCTTCCGTACCACATACACAAACTGTCCAACTGTGAGGTCGGCAGGAACAAGGTACCTGCAAGCAATAGCATATCAGGAGCCATATAAAAATTGGAGTAGCTGGTAGTTGGCTTGTACGGATAAACAAGACTTTATTCTGAATTAATTAATGCAGGAAGATGATACAAGCAAAGAATACGCTAATGGAGTAAGCAATCAATTTGTAGATGGCAACTTGCAGAAGAAACAGACTCTTGACTGGGACGCTGTTAAGTGTCTGGGACTTACTATACAAGACATAAAAATACTTTAAAGGCATGATTGGCACAAGGATAATGCCCACAGCCAACAGTTTTGCATTATCAAGCGTTTGACAAAATCAATGACAACAATTGCTAAGACTACTTTCAGAAGTACAATACAAAAAAAAAAAGTAATGTCAGGACAACTATTCAAAAAAAAAAAGGAGGGAAATGCAATGAAAATAATCTTGAAATGGTTAAGAACTGACTTTTTCTTGTCAATGTCTGGGATGTCACTCCTCTCGGCCTTCTCAACAATGACCTACATTACAAGAAAGCCAATTTGAATGAGAACAAAAGCTATCATGGAAATAATCAGAGGACATGGGGAAAAAATTACTTAAGGCTTACAGGGATTCTATCAGGGTACTTCTCCCTGATGCGGTTAGCCTCAGCTTGCCTCCTTTCTGCGACATAAAAAACATGCCTAATGAGAATTCAGTCATTCTAAGACGAAAGGATACAGATGTATATAAAAAGAAAACTGAAAAATCTACATGAGACCAGCAGACGGTGAATAAGAACCAGACAATGGTAAGACATGCACAAGGAACAGACCAACCATTCCGTGGATGTAGGTACAACCTAAACCTGATCAAATTACAGGTACATGGAACCTGGGGAGTTACAACTTGAGGACGGGTTCAGACTTCAGAGAAAATTGCAATTAAGAGAAGCAAATGCAGATGTTGGAATTTACTAGTTGCTGGGGTTGGTATGAACTTTGCCAGATCATGTTAAGCTGCTACAAGCAGAGATTTGATCCGAGTCAACACCGCAAACTGCGGGTGGCACAGCCTACGAATCGCCTAGCGAATTTAACTGCAACCATCATCAAGTTCCAACAGTCCAGCCTACAGGGCAAAGCTGCAGACCTACCTATCCGTAGCACACCACAAAACCAAAAAAACACATCAGTCTAATCTAACCACCACAGGATCGCGAAACCGTGACACGGTAGCACAGACGAACACCCCTACAAAGTTTCGATTAAACCTACGCAACTCAACGAATCGATTGACGGATGGGTCCGCACGCGGCAGCGTCTACCAGTACCAGCCAAACAACCGAGACCCTAGCACGAGCAACAACAACTGGTGAACCTCCCCGGATGAGGAGGGGGATCGGGGACCGGAGGAACGAACCGAGGGGGTGCTCCAGCTTGAACGAGCTCCTCGCCATCGCTCCTCCTCCTGCTCTTCGTCGCCTCGATCGCACGCGCACGCGGAACAGAGAGCGGCGACCTGATGAAACAGAAAAAATCGGGCCGGGTCAGGGAGACGAGGAGGCGCGGGGAAAGTGGGGGCAATTCAATCCAATCCAATCGATTGAGGGCGGCGGGCGCTCACCGGATGGATTGATGGATGGAAGGCTGGAGCGGCGGCTGATTGGATGTGTGGGATTGCCGGCGGAGGGGAAGAAATGGTGGTGGGGGGAGGAGTGGGGATTGGGGAGTTGCTTGGTTAAATGCTACGCGCACGCAAGCGCTAACGTACGTCGCTTTTGCCCCCTTCCCACGGGGAGAGAGACGTGGGAGGAGGAGACTTGCGTTGGATTGGACTGGATAAGTCCGCCACTTGGCGCTTGGCTTTGCGTGTCCCACCAAGCAAATAAACCAAGCTTACGTTTTTTTATTTAATTTTTATTTATATTTTTTAAACAAAAAGGTTAAAGAAACCAAGTCTATTTTGTACAAGATCCCCTCCTATCTGATTGAAAAGGGTCCCATGATCCCGAGCCGGTCTTATCTTGGCTCGCAAACCCCAAGTTTGTCTATGAAGAGCTAATCTAATTGTATTAGTTTCTATAATGGATTTCTTATGTGGAATACTAATGGATAGGGCCTCGTTGCTAAGTGCTACAAGATCTAGTGCACTGGAACTCGTTGTTATGAACCCGAATCCTTTAGTATGGAACATTGTCTTTTCTAAGTAAAAACCCCTGGTATATGAAAGAATGAAAAAGGTGCTTTCGTTCTTGTGGAATAAGAAGCCCTCGTACCTTAATGAAAGGAAAATAGGAATTTTTCGTTAGGTATTTGACCAAATAGAATCGTCCAGTTCCTATAGGCCGTGTCCCCGACGTTTATCGGTTGGGTGCTTGCATTGCATTGGATTCCACTGTCAAAGCTAGGACCTTCATCGAAGTTTCGTAGAGCACTACTCCATGTGACACAAATTTGAGATTAGTATGTTTCAAAAACAAATAAGATTAGTATGTAGAAATGCTTATTATTAATATCACATGTACTCCCTCCTTCCCAAATTATAATAAGTCGTTCCAATTTCCTTGAAGAGTCAAAGCATCACAACTTTGACTAAAATTATAGAAAGAATCACAAAGATTTATAACATTACATAGTATACTATAAAAATACAATTAATAAATAATTCAATTATACTTATTTAATATCATAAATATTATTAATTTATTATATAAATTTAGTTAAATTTGAGATGCTTTGAAAGATAAAATGATTTATAATTTAGGACGGGGATATCAGATATGAGCGTATCGGGCTAGGAACTAGGATGCACATGACGCAGCTGGGCTGGAAAAAGCAGACCCGCTTTAACTATGGGCTTGGGTAGGGTAGTTTCTTAGTAGGCCCAAAACTAACCGGGCAAGTCTGAGCAAGATTTCCAACGCATTCTCTATTTTTCATAGCGTATAATCCCCGTATGTTACATATTTATAGATTAGGGGTAAGATAAATATTTCGAGTTGTTCCGACGAATCCTTGCAACAATCACATCCAACATGGAGCACAAAAAAGGCCCACACTGTTTTGTTGGACATCACAATACCACTCGAGGATTTTGAAGACGATCGTGGATGGCACAGACATGCCATGCTGATACGGTTCGTGCCATGGCGGGTATCCAAGCATATTCCAAGTTATTATCTATCAGTAAACAGTGATACCCGCGACACATGGCAAAACACCACACAGGTGCCGTAACTGCTGTATGGCAAAGCCATCTGATTAACAGCGCAAGCGCAGAAAATTCAGACCTGCCTTAGATCCCAGAGGTCAAGACGGATCAGTCATGCAACTTCAACACAAGTCCCTGAAATCCACCAACAGTTCGAACGTTTGAACACTTCCAGACCAAGTTCAGTTCACGGTTATACACATTGTTCCGGCTGATGAGAGAAAAACAAGCCGAAATATTGTTCCGGCTGATTTACTGGTTCAGAAAAACACTGTTCAGAAAAACACTGTTCAGAAAAAACAAGCTGAAATTGTAATTGCGATTCCCAGGAGTCAGGACAGGAGACTTGTTACACTGCCAGATGCACAACCAACACCATAGGATATTAGAATGTTGTTCCCTTGTCTTCAGCGTGCCTCATACTGAACAACTGCCAGCACAGAAGAAAAGAAGAGCGCTATTGATCAGGACAAGTACAATGGATCAGAAAAAAAAATCACTTTCCATTGTACTGCCACGATGCAAAATCTAGCATCCACTAGTATCATGGAACAATCACGCTTTGTAAGTTAGAGCAACTAATGGAGCTTATTCTCTACTTGGGCTACCCACCAGTTTCAGTGGGAACTGGAAAGTGACTACAATGATCTAAAGAAAAGGGTGGTTTGTTCAGTTTAAACAGGAACTGGAAAAAAACAGTATCTAGTAGCACAATGGACCATGCATAAATGCTTTGTTGATTAGAGTACATAGTGAGAGCTTACTATCAAACTGGTTTAGCTACCATTTTCAGTGTGAAATGGTTTCAGTGTTACGAAGGAAAAATATGCCTTCATTCTTTCAACAGACATGTATATGCCTTATAAACCATCTGATTGTTGCCTTTTCATAATCACAGTAACAATGAGTCAATGACATGCACGAAGGAAGCCAATAATAACACCATACGCTAAAATGTAGTAAGCTCACAACAAACAATACATTTTCTGTAACAGAACACAAAGTACCCAAGTCAACTTCGGTCTTTCTCTGTATGTTACTATCTCAGGATTCCACCACACCGGTGCCTCTCATCTCCGCTTCATGTCCAAATCATATCAACCGTGTTGGACAAGCTTTTCTTCAATTGGTGCTACCCCTAATCTATCACTTTTATCATCGTTCAAACTCGATCCCTTCTAGTAATACGAAAAACTACATAACATACGCATTCACCCAAAGTGAACATGTCGGTACCAATATTATGCACCATACAACATAGCAGTCTAATCTGGTCCTATAAAACTTGCTTTTTAGCTTCATGATACCTTTTGTCATCAACACCGTATGCTTGGCGCCCCCCTGTGATATGGCTAACATCTTTATCAATATCCCCGTCTCTCTATAGCATTGATCCTAAATATCAAAAGGTATCCTTCCTAGGCACTACTTGACCTTCCAAACTAATATCTTTCTCCTCAGTAGTAGTACAAAGTCACATCTCATATACTCGTTTTAGTTCTTTTCTAAAACCTTTGACTCCAAAGTCTCCCCCATAACTCCGGTCACGATTTACTCTCGTCCGGCTTTCATCAACTAACACCTCTCTCAAAGCATACACAAGGGATGTCCCTTGTATGTCCGACCTCATCCACCGAGATAAGGGCAAACTTTTATTGTGGAAACAAGTGTAGTCCTATCATAATCGGAAAGTCATCCGTGTCTACTATCACTTGTTCAACACTAGTCACAACATTGTTGTACATGTCCTTAATAAGTCCGAAGCATTCGCTGGGACTTTATGTTTGTCCAAACCCCACCACGTAACATTCCTTGGTATTTTATCATGTTTTCCAAGTCAATAAAAATCATGTGTAGGTCCTTCTTCTCTCTATACCGCTCCATAACTTGTCTTATTAAGAAAATGGCTTCCATGATTGACCTTCTAGGCATGAAACCAAATTGGTTCATAGAGACCCGCGTTATTGCTCTCAAGCGATGCTCGATAACTCTCTTCCATAGCTTCATAGTATGGCTTATCAACTTAATTCCCCGGTAATTATTACAACTTTGAATACCCCCTTTATTCTTGTAGATCGGTACGAATATACTTCTCCTCCACTCGTCAGGCATCTTGTTCGATCGAAAAATATGGTTGAGCAGCTTAGTTAGCCATACTATAGCTATGTCCCCGAGGCATCTCCACACCTCGATTGGAATACCATCCGGTCCCATCGCCTTACCTCCTTTCATCCTTTTCAACGCCTCTCTGACATCAGATTCTTAGATTCTCTGCACAAAACACCTATTGGTGTCATTAAAAGAGTCATCCAACTGAAAGGTTGTGTCCATATTCTCACCATTGAACAATTTGTCAAAATACTCTTACCATCGATGTCGGATCTCATCCTCCTTCACCAAGAGATGCTCACTTTCATCCTTAATGCACTTAACTTGGTTGAAGTCCCTTGTCTTTCTCTCACGAACCCTAGCCATCATATAAATGTCATTCTCTCCTTCCTTCGTACTCAAATGTTGGTAAAGATCCTCGTAGGCTCTACCCTTTGCCATACTTACAGCTCGCTTTGCAGTCTTCTTTGCCACCTTGTACTTCTCTATGTTGTCCACACTCCTATCATAGTACAAACGTCTATAGCATTCTTTCTTCTCCTTAATAGCCCTTTGGACTTCCTCGTTCCACCACCAAGTATCTTTAGCCTCGCCTCCACTTTCTTTGATTACTCCACACACCTCTGAGGCCACCTTCCGAATGTTGGTTGCCATCTTCTCCCACACGTTGTTTGTCCTCTTCTTCCTTCCAAGAGCCCTCTTTGATAACCCTTTCCCTAAATACCTCCGACGTCTCCCCTTTCAGTTTCCACCACTTTGTTCTTTCAATCTTAGCTTGTTTATCCCTATGAGCACGCACCCGAAAACGAAAGTCTGCCACTAAAAGCTTATGTTGAGAAACAACACACTCCCTTGGTATCACCTTGTAACCCAAGCAAGCTCATTTGTCCTTTCTTCTTGCGAGGACAAAGTCAATCTGGCTAGAGTGTTGTCCGCTACTGAAGGTCACTAGATGAAATTCTCGCTTTTTAAAGAAAGTGTTGGCTATCATCAGGTCAAAAGCTACCGCGAAGTCCAGAACTTCCTCCCCCTCCTGATTCTTACTACCATGTCCAAAACCTCCATGAACTGCCTCGAAACCTGCGCTTGTAGTACCTACATGCCTATTAAGATCTCATTCTATAAAAAGCTTCTCAC